TAGGCACTGACTGCTAAGGAACAACTTGCATCTTCCCGGCCAAGTTTCTAGCTCCTTAGTGGCAATGCTGAGCAAAAGGTAGACACAGCCCAGGGTATTGGCCTGCGGTCTTGCTTGCTGTGCTACAGAAGTGTTGCTGCTGGTAGGGAGGTTGTGAAAGGAAAATGCTCTCTGCTTGGGTGGCCTTGTTCTCTGGGATTCCTCAGCACCAGCAGATTTCTAACAGCACCTGGTTCATTTTTCCCTTGTCCCTGGCAGGCCACCGCAGAAGCAGAAGGAGTCAAGTCTACGGTTCGGTGAGTGGGACGGGCACCCTTGACATTCCTGGTGACTGAGGACTGTGGAGCAAGCTGTGGGCTTGGCCTGTTGTAGTCGAGTGCCAGGCTGGCAGGCCAAAAGAAAGTCCACATCAGTCCACGTCTGCATGAGCACTACCAAAAGGATTCCATCCGTTTCCTCCTTTTCCGCTGAAGAGGTTTGAACTAATGAAAGTCACGTTTTGCAGACAGAAGGCTGCATGCTGATTGTAGCCTGGCTGAAATATCCCCGTCATAAGCATATGCAGTCCCGTCCAAAGCTTAGTCTCATCAGCCCACTTGAAATGAGTTTTAGTGACTGAGGATCCCACTTGTATCGAAATTCATGACTTCTCCTTAAGACCACTGGCGATAGAGCTCAGTGGAAATAAGGTTCTCTGTGACAGCTCACTGCCTGTCCCTCACGCTGCTGTCTGTCTGCAGAGCACCACAGCAGCAGCAGAACCTGCTCTGGCTCGCTCTCTTGCTCCAGAGGTAAAAGGGAAGGCAAAGGACAACAAACCTCCATGTGTTGTCAGTCCAGGGCCTGAGCATCCTGCACCAGTCAGTGGCAGCTTTGCTTGGTTCAGTGCCAAGCTTTGGTGCAGTGCAGAGCTGCAAGTTTCTGAGCAGGCAGCACTTGTCCCTTGTGGCTGAAGACGCTGAAGGCTGGAGTCCTGCCATGACCTAGCGCTTCAGCCCAGCCACTGACAGGTGGGAAATGGGATCTGAACTCTCATATGCAGGCATCGTTTTCCTGCCATTCTGACAGGGACTGTGAACTTCCCTTGGTGTCACATAAGCGCCAGCATGATGTCCTTTAGTGCTACTGGTGAGAAAGTGAGCCCCTTTGTGCACAGTGTCTGTGCAGGCTCCCTGCTGCCAGCAGAGAGAGCGGTCCCAAGGCGCAGCTCACAGCCTTGTGGGATACAGAGGAGTCACGGCTGCCAGCAGGGATGTGTCCAACTCCATGCACTGTCTAAGTAGCTACAGTCACTGCTTTGAACTTTGGCATGAGCCAAGTTTGCTCAGAAGAATCCTGAGCAGCTGTGCATGGCAGAGACAAGGTGCGTGTCTGAAGGGCTGGAATGCAGTTCCTATTGGCTGCTTCCTGATGCTTGAAATCCTGAGAGGAAGCCAGTTGACCAGAGCTGAGCAGGGAAATGTGCCCTGCTTCCATTGAGAGACACTTGCAAAGCTCAACTAAGGGGTTAGTTGGTTACCCACATAAACACCCCCACACAACAGCTTTTGCCTTCAGCTGGGCTGTGTCTCTGTTGCTGCATCTCCCAGGTTTGAGGAGCCAACTTCCCTGCTCCTTATTGCTTGTTTGTTCTTTTTCCCTGCCCATTCCTTGCAGGCCCCACTAGGAGAGCTTCTTGCCACTCAGGACTCCTCGGCCCAGGCGGGAAAGGCAGAGAGGCAGGAGAGCACAGATGGAGCGTGCAGCGCCCAGGAGTTCAGGTGTGTGTGAAGCTTTCTCGCTTTCTCTGAGCAGGGGTGGGCATTGCTGGGCTGTAGGAGACCCAGAGTCAAAGAAGAAATTTGGCTCTCTCATTGTTTCACTTGCTCAGCATAGACGGGGGAAGGCAACCCGTGGGCAGGTCTGGCTGCCGACCCACCTTCAGCACAGCTGCCTCCTGGGGCTCGCTTCTCAAACCTTGTCAAAAACGATGCTGAACTGCACCAGAGTAAAAGCAAGGCAGGTTCAGGCTGGGTTTATGGACAGCAAATCTTTGAGCTGCAAAGGCAATCATGCAGCAGAACAAGTGCAGCAAAGAGTTGGTGCACATTCCACCCCTGGAAATTTGGAAGCCCCAGCTGGACAGAGCCTTGAGCCGCCTGTCCAGATGCCATAGCTGACCCCAAGTGCTTGGAGCTGAAGATGATGGGCCTAAAGGCCTCCCGCGGTCCCTGCCAGCCTAAGCCATCTTGGGATCCTTTGATGGTTGGATTGGAAATTTGTACCCACCTCCTCCCCAAGCTGTAGCTTGCAGGCTCTTTCCTTGTTTTTTTTCCCCCACTGAGGCACTGTTCTTCCTTCCGTGAGCCCTAAAATTTGCTGGTTGATGTTAGGCATGCAGTAAATGTGCAGGAAGGACAGGCATTCCAGTTTAGGGAACTCTCGGGGATATTACCAAAGCCTGATTTCATCCACAGGGTTTAATCAAGTGTTGCTTGTTTTAGTCAGAAGCATTGTGGCCAAAGTACCGGGTGTGTGCGCTGGGCGCCTGCTTTGCGTTACTTTTGGATCCTTGGAGCTATGGGTTATGGACTGGAAGAGAGGACTGTGCTGCTTTGGGACAGAGGAGAACATTCCGGGCTCTCTTTTTTCTTGGCTGTAGAGAAGGTCCGGTTGCTAGGCATGAGCTCACAGAGCGACCCAGGGCTGCTGCTATTGTGATGTCAGTGGAGGGCTGCCACGTCACAGCGTTGTCACCAGGAGCTTGGCCTGGTGCCCGCCAGGCCTCAGCGTCCAGAACAGCTCTTGGCGTTCTCGTTGCAGGAGGATCCTGTATTGAGGAGCTCTCAGGCAACAGTCTGTGCCCTGGAAAGGGAGTCTTGTTCTTTTGCCTGCCATTGTACGAGCCTGCAGACTCGTATAGGCATCCTTTAGTTTCCCCTGCGGTTGTAGGGTCAGCAGACACGAGCAGGTGTCCTTTTATTTTCCTTTTTTGTTGTACGGTCTGCAGACTTGTGCAGGTGTCTTTTGTTTTTTCCCTTCTGTTGGAACAGTCCGCGGATTGCTGCGGGTGTCTTTTTTTCCTCTTTCCCTTGCACAGTCTGGGGACTTGTGCAAGTGGGTTTTTCTTCCATTTTTGTTTTACTGCCCGACGACTGAAGCAGCCCTGCTGAAAGGATGGAGCAAGTCCGTAGAGCGATCAGCAGGGCTTTTTCGTCAGTGTCGTCCCGCAAAATTATTTCCGGTCTGAGAGGTAAGTAGAAGTTTTTTCTTTGGGGCAGCACATTGAAAGGAAAGTGCCATAAAGATGCCATAAGTTTGGTAAAGCTCCGGCCAACAGCTTCAGCTGACAAGCGGGTGTCTCTTGCCCAGCAGGGTGCGGACAACTTCCAAAATGCAGACTGGGAGAGTTGTGCAAGTGTCCTTCCAAAAACTGTGCAGTTCTCTCCAGAACTGAGGGAAGGCATCTTTTTTCTGCATTCCCTCCTTAAAGGATGTGCCTCTCTAACTGGAGCCCCTCTGTGCGCTGCAAGAGCGATTGGCTTTGCAGTGTGGGGCAAACTGCCGAGCAGATTGTGTGTGCTCCCGAACCCCAGAGCTGGGCCTGTGCTGTGTCCAAACAAAGCTGCAAGCGCTAAGAGGGGTTTGGCGGAAGCTTTTGTGGGGAATTGTTTGCCTGGGTGGTGGGACATTACTGAAGGTCAGGAATGACAAAGGTGTGGTGAGCATGAAGTCAGGATTTACTGCCTCCTGTGTGCGCTGCGGATGTTTCTCAGACAGGGAAGCAAAGAGACATGAGAGAAAAGAAAAGGATACTGTGAGCTGAAGGTTACTTTTCTGACAGCTCCAGCTATCCAAGTTCTTTTTGGCGCATGCTTGGGTCCTCTTGCACGTTCCTGTGGCAAGTGCAAAGCAAGCCATCTTGGCACTGACATGAGTGCTAGGGAAACCGTGCAGATGTTTGCTGAAACTGGGAATTGCCCTCTGGTTTTGGTTTCTCCTTCTGTACATCTGTACATAAATCTTTCTTTGCCAAGTAGTTTGACATGGCATTTTCAGAATTCAAGGCTCTTACATGTGAATGTTGGGAGTAGGGTGCCGATGCTCTGGGAGAATCCTGGCGGGTTGTGCTGAAAATCTTGAGAGCCTGCTGAGCTGACTCGTGTGAAGTATGGTGCAGGACCTAGAGCCGCTTAGAAGCAGCAGCAGAAGAAGGGAAAGGTCTTGTGGCATCTCCACAGTGTGCGGGGATTCTTGCTGAGCACTGATTCTTGGTGAAATCAAGAGTGTAGTTAAGATATTTTATGAAAAATCCTTTGCTAGGATTTTTCTCTTTTTCTAGCTGAGAAGCTTCAGAAAAGAAATGTACAAATTACTATCTAATAGTAATAAATAAATAACTAAAACAAATAACTATCTAATAGCTGTGGAATGTAGCCTGGACATTGTTTACCAACCGGTGCATCTGTGATTGGTCAATGTCAGTTTTTTCTACTTAATAACCAATCAAAGATGCAGCTGCATTGGACTCTGAGAGTCACGCGTTTTTTCTTATCATTCTATTCTTCTTCTTTCTAGCCTTCTGATGAATTATTTTCTCTTTATTCTTTTAATATAGTTTTAATATAGCATTTTAATAAAATATATATCACAATATAATAAATCAGCCTTTGGAAACATGAAGTCAAGATTCTCGTCTCCTCACACGGAGCAGCAACCATACAAGAGTAATTGTGGGAATACTCCTCTGGACTTACCAAGCCTCTCTTAGCCAAAGCAGAACTTTTGCAAGTCTGCTATCCAGTGTATCAGAGAGGAGCATAAGAGCAAGCAGGCAGGAAGCTGTTAAGCTGGGAGTACCTGAGCTTTCTGGACATGTTTGGTGGCTTCTGGAAGCTGGTTTGACTTCCTCACTGGTGACTCTGTCAGCTGCATGAATGACAAAGAGAGGTGCTGGTCTAGAGAGGGAATTCCAGCATTGTCTTGAGGTGGAAGCAGAGGGCTGTTGGAAGCCCCTGAGACTGCCCTGAGTGGGACATGGTATGTAGTCCTGGTGTTGCAATTAAAGGCTTGTTTGTCTGTCCCCTTGTCGTAGATGGAAGGAGGTGGCTGCATTTGAGAGCAAGCGCCACTCCTCACTAGAGAGGGTGTTGGAAGTGGCAGCAGAGAGAGCAGAGGAACCGCAGCTTCAGAGAGACCTGGTGAAGGAAGAGGTTCCTCTGGCAGTGCCAAAGGTATGCTCACCTTATTCCCAGGCAGCACCTGTGGCACAGGGAGCTGCCCCTAGCAAGACCGCTCCAAATGCGGCTTCTGGCAGCCAGCCAAGAGCGAGACTGTGTTGTTGTTGCTGTTGCTCTTGAAAAATGGTGCCTCCTCTGCTTCCAGGATTGCCGGTGGCAGCGGCCAGCCCACAGGGGTCTGGAGAAGCTGCTGCAGGAGTTCTCTCGCCAAGGGCACACACTGTCAGTGTGCAGAGAGAAGGCGGCGCAGGCACAAGAGAACGCTGCCCTGGAAGCCCGAGTGACAGCCATGGAGCGGGACCTACGAGGTCTCTCCCAGCAGCTGGTAGAGGCCAGGTAAAGGCAGGGAGGAGCGCCTGGGTGGTGGGACATTACTGAAGGTCAGGAATGACAAAGGTGTGGTGAGCATGAAGTCAGGATTTACTGCCTCCTGTGTGCGCTACAAATGTTTGTCAGACAGAGAAGCAAAGAGACATGAGAGAAAAGAAAAGGATACTGTGAGCTGAAGGTTACTTTTCTGACAGCTCCAGCTATCCAAGTTCTTTTTGGCGCATGCTTGGGTCCTCTTGCACGTTCCTGTGGCAAGTGCAAAGCAAGCCATCTTGGCACTGACATGAGTGCTAGGGAAACCGTGCAGATGTTTGCTGAAACTGGGAATTGCCCTCTGGTTTTGGTTTCTCCTTCTGTACATCTGTACATAAATCTTTCTTTGCCAAGTAGTTTGACATGGCATTTTCAGAATTCAAGGCTCTTACATGTGAATGTTGGGAGTAGGGTGCCGATGCTCTGGGAGAATCCTGGCGGGTTGTGCTGAAAATCTTGAGAGCCTGCTGAGCTGACTCGTGTGAAGTATGGTGCAGGACCTAGAGCCGCTTAGAAGCAGCAGCAGAAGAAGGGAAAGGTCTTGTGGCATCTCGACAGTGTGCGGGGATTCTTGCTGAGCACTGATTCTTGCTCTCTTGTCCATCCACCTCTGTAACCTGTCAAGGTGCCCTTGGCTGGTCCCTTTCTAAAGAGTGCCAAGACATTTGGGCACTGCTGGCTTAGTTTGCCAAAAATGAAGGGAGCAAGCATTCTTGTTGATGAAAATCCAGTAATTTAAACAGCAGGATACCTGTCCCTCCTCCAAGATCGTTCTTGTTCAGATTAAAACCTCGTTCACTCATGCTGCTAGAAGCCAGAGCTTTCATATGTCATTCCCTGCATTCCTTTAGTCCCTTTTACTTTGAGAGTACCTGGTAAACAAAGTATCTGTATGCACACTCTGAATAGCAGTAAACATTGAGGAGTCAGCCAGGAGAACACTGGTGTTGACCAGAGCTGAGCAGGGAAATGTGCCCTGCTTCCATTGAGAGACACTTGCAAAGCTCAACTAAGGGGTTAGTTGGTTACCCACATAAACACCCCCACACAACAGCTTTTGCCTTCAGCTGGGCTGTGTCTCTGTTGCTGCATCTCCCAGGTTTGAGGAGCCAACTTCCCTGCTCCTTATTGCTTGTTTGTTCTTTTTCCCTGCCCATTCCTTGCAGGCCCCACTAGGAGAGCTTCTTGCCACTCAGGACTCCTCGGCCCAGGCGGGAAAGGCAGAGAGGCAGGAGAGCACAGATGGAGCGTGCAGCGCCCAGGAGTTCAGGTGTGTGTGAAGCTTTCTCGCTTTCTCTGAGCAGGGGTGGGCATTGCTGGGCTGTAGGAGACCCAGAGTCAAAGAAGAAATTTGGCTCTCTCATTGTTTCACTTGCTCAGCATAGACGGGGGAAGGCAACCCGTGGGCAGGTCTGGCTGCCGACCCACCTTCAGCACAGCTGCCTCCTGGGGCTCGCTTCTCAAACCTTGTCAAAAACGATGCTGAACTGAGGGCAGGTCCCTCCTTGCCTGAAACTGAAAGGGCTTAAGGTCAGTCGAGTCCTCTGCTTGTGTAGTCTCTGACTGTTGCCATTTGTCACGTTTGCAGAGGATGTGAAGGACCTTCGTCGTGAGCTGCAAGTTGTAAGATCTCTCAGCCAGCAGCAATGTGAAGAAATGGCTCAACAGCTCCACTGGGCACGAGAGCAGTGCAGCAAGGCTCTCAGATGCTGGCAATCTGCTCAGGAAGAGGAAAAAAGGAAGCTGCAGCAAAAATTGGTAAGCAACAATAGGCACCTGAAGTTTTCAGGCAAGCTTGGTGGGCTGCCTTAGCAGAAGAGCAGCCTGAGTGACATGGCCGCAAGCATCTGCTGTAGGCTACGCATTGCTGGGCCAGGCAGCAGAGGGCTTCAGGGGCTCATACTAGAAAGCCTGTGAAGAGCAAGAGGATGGTGCCGGCACAGCACATGCAGGCACAGCTTCAGGCTGGGCATAAGGCAAGTTCCCCAGAAGGCTGGCTGGTCACCAGCCAAAGCATGGCAGAAAAGGATCTTCCCCAGAGCCTCATGCTATGCAGCAGACAGCTGCTGACCTTGCTCAGCACTGGAGTCCCAGCAACTGGGTTCCTTGCTTTCTGTCCTTCCGCAGTGGACAAAAGTCTTGTATGTGATTGTAAAGGTGTGCAACAGGTCCCGTGTTTCTGGTATTTCAGCTGCTGGCCTGTCCTGTGACTAGGGCATTGGAGTGCCGGCCTCCTCCTCGTCCTGTAGTCCACCTGCAGCTTTTCCTTCATCAAAGGGTGGGGGGATTTTGAGAACAGAGCCTCTGAGAGCAGGCAGAAATCTTGAGGAGAGAGGAGCTAGGAAAGAGGCAGTCGTCAGAGCGGGGAAGGAAAGTGGCACCTCCTTTCCTTCCACCTGCTGGCCCTCCTGTGAAGTTTCTGGTTACAAGTGCTGGAGGGCACAAAGCCACTGCTGAGGTTTTGTGGGAGGGATGAAGCTGTCATTATGTTCTTTGGGGTGCGTGGCTGGGACTTCATGTGGAAGTGTCTCTTTCTCTCATCAGAAGAGACGTCTGGAACGACAGCGCTTGGAGGCGCAGGCCATGCTGGAGGAACGGGACAGATTCCTGGCAGAGGTACAGAGGGAGCAGAGGAAAAGGTTGCTTGAGATGAAGCAGGAAGTGGCCATCAAGCAAGCTGAATAAGAAAAGATAGGAACCAGAGCCAGTCAAGAGGCACAGAGTGTGAAAAGAGAGTTTGTGTGCTGTGTTGGACCCCTCTGGTCTCCTTATGGGCACTGCTTCCCTGGACACTGTCTGTCTGGGTGGGATTGCCTCTTAGGTGGCTCTTGGGAAACGTGAGAAGGAGAACAAGATGCTTTTGGAAAGCGTGCACACATCAATCTTGGTTGTGACACAAGTGGTGTGTGGGACGTTGAAAGCCGTCTTCTCTTTGTTTCTGTGCAGCTCCAGGGTCAGAAGGCTGCTGCCTTAGACAAGGTGCGCCAGCTGCAAAGGGAGCTAAAGCAAAGCCGGCAGCAGCTGGAGCAGCTGAGGCAGCAGCTGAATGAGGAGCGGGTGAACGGGCAGGTGAGCCTGACTAGGCAGGGTGCAGAGGGAAGGGCAGTGATGGGGGCATGAACTGGAGATGTCAGGAAAGGGGAGGCATGGACTGCTGCAGGCACTGGAATCACAGAGCCTGGCAGGCTCCAGGGCTGAGCACCAGGAAGAAGAGTTAGGAGGGAAGGGTGAGAGCTGGGTGGAGAAGCAGAAGGCAGTGGCTGAATGGCAGTGCCTATGAGACTTGGAAAGGAGAAGCCTGAGTGTAATGGCAGGTGCCAGTAAGATTTTTCTTGACAGAATATCAAGGAGAAGTTGGAGGCAGAGCTGTGGGAAGCTTGGAGGAAGATGAAGGCAGTGGAGGAGAGGCACAAAGAAGAAATGGAAAGGATGCACAAGATGCAGCTGCAGTACAGGCGGGCAGAAGAAAAGCAGGTGAGTGAAAGAGCAGCAGGCACTGCAATCATGCAACAAGTGGTCTCTGCTCTTCTCACCTTTCCCCTGCAGAGCAGCATTGGGCTGGGGGCAAGGCCTCTGACTGCCATGCTCTGTGGTCTGCATTGCAGCTAGCCAGCACCACCCTTACTGGGCCACTGAATCTCAGCTGCTGCCCTGGGCAGCAAAGCTAGTGCTTTGGCCGATGGGCCAGCAATCCTGTGAATGTATTGCTGCTGGCCTCTTAGTGCCCACTTTGTTTTTTGAGGGGTTTGTTCAGGTGAACATGGTGACCCATGCACATTCTGAACAAGTTGTCCCTTTCCATGGTGAATGCAATGCTCTGGGTGAAATTTGAAGTTCTTCTTTCCCTTTCACCATCTCTACTACAGCTGGCTGTGCCAAGCTGTAGTCTCTGGCTGCTCATTTGGGTTTGACTTGAGGTGGAGGAGTTGACAGCTCAGCTTGCAGCCTACCACCAGTGTTGCTCCTCATGGCTTGCCTTTGAAATGCGCTGTCTGGGGCATCTGTGCCAGGCACCTTTCTGACACAAATAAATGTCTTGTCCCAGGTGGACGAGGGCTCTGCCGTGGAAGCCGTCGCTGCAGCAGCATCCTGCAAAGAAGCCTCCTCTCCACAGCCTGAGAACCCGAGCACGAGCAGCTCGCCCCGCCCCATCCGGGAGAGCGAGAAGCCGTGCCTGAAGCTGCTGAGTACGTCCTGTGGATTTCTTGTGCGATCGAGCAGTGTATTATAGTGTGTGTGCCTCAGCATGAGCTGGACCACACATTCCTCCTCTTTTTGGTGTTGCAGAGACCTTTTGGACTCCCTCCAGAAGCCATTGTTGTGCTTGGAGGCAGCCAGGGAGCACCTTGGGGCACTGCTTTTGCTTTGAGGGCAGCTGGGAGTGGGTGGGCTTTGCCTGAGCTTCCCTGTGCAGTAGAGGCAAAAGCAGGGATTGTTTCCTGAGTAGCAGAAGGCTGCAACCTAGCCAGTGACTGACTGAACATGTGTGTGCTGGTCTGGCCAAACTGATCAGAATACTTGGCCTTCTAGATTCCCTTCAGACTGCATTGGAGACAAAATTCTTCAGAGAAATTGATTGGCTGTGGAGCTGGTTTGATACTGGTGTTGTTGTCATGAGTGGTATCACTTCTACTATTGCTTCTACATTTTACTTGGACAAGAAGTCTGCATTTTGGCTATCCTGACCTCCTTTGAAAGAATATAAGGTGATAGGAAAAGGCAGAGCTGTGGGGAGCTTGGAGGAAGATGAAGGCAGTGGAGGAGAGGCACAAAGAAGAAATGGAAAGGATGCACAAGATGCAGCTGCAGTACAGGCGGGCAGAAGAAAAGCAGGTGAGTGAAAGAGCAGCAGGCACTGCAATCATGCAACAAGTGGTCTCTGCTCTTCTCACCTTTCCCCTGCAGAGCAGCATTGGGCTGGGGGCAAGGCCTCTGACTGCCATGCTCTGTGGTCTGCATTGCAGCTAGCCAGCACCACCCTTACTGGGCCACTGAATCTCAGCTGCTGCCCTGGGCAGCAAAGCTAGTGCTTTGGCCGATGGGCCAGCAATCCTGTGAATGTATTGCTGCTGGCCTCTTAGTGCCCACTTTGTTTTTTGAGGGGTTTGTTCAGGTGAACATGGTGACCCATGCACATTCTGAACAAGTTGTCCCTTTCCATGGTGAATGCAATGCTCTGGGTGAAATTTGAAGTTCTTCTTTCCCTTTCACCATCTCTACTACAGCTGGCTGTGCCAAGCTGTAGTCTCTGGCTGCTCATTTGGGTTTGACTTGAGGTGGAGGAGTTGACAGCTCAGCTTGCAGCCTACCACCAGTGTTGCTCCTCATGGCTTGCCTTTGAAATGCGCTGTCTGGGGCATCTGTGCCAGGCACCTTTCTGACACAAATAAATGTCTTGTCCCAGGTGGACGAGGGCTCTGCCGTGGAAGCCGTCGCTGCAGCAGCATCCTGCAAAGAAGCCTCCTCTCCACAGCCTGAGAACCCGAGCACGAGCAGCTCGCCCCGCCCCATCCGGGAGAGCGAGAAGCCGTGCCTGAAGCTGCTGAGTACGTCCTGTGGATTTCTTGTGCGATCGAGCAGTGTATTATAGTGTGTGTGCCTCAGCATGAGCTGGACCACACATTCCTCCTCTTTTTGGTGTTGCAGAGACCTTTTGGACTCCCTCCAGAAGCCATTGTTGTGCTTGGAGGCAGCCAGGGAGCTGTATTATGCACTGCTTTTGCTTTGAGGGCAGCTGGGAGTGGGTGGGCTTTGCCTGAGCTTCCCTGTGCAGTAGAGGCAAAAGCAGGGATTGTTTCCGGAGCAGCAGAAGGCTGCATCCTAGCCAGTGACTGACTGAACATGTGTGTGCTGGTCTGGCCAAACTGATCAGAATACTTGGCCTTCTAGATTCCCTTCAGACTGCATTGGAGACAAAATCTGATGGCAACAGCCGTCATTGTGGCCCAATTCCTCTTAAGCCCCGGTTCAGACACAGACAGGATTTCCAATTGCTTCCCATCCTGTGGTACATTTTGAAAAGACCTAAAGAAGGAGAGATCTTGTCTGGAGCGCAGTTTTGCATTTCAGTCCTGGGGAACCTGGGTCACAGACACACACACACACACACACACACACACACCCCCACACACGCACACATTCTCACACACGTGTGTGGCGTGCACAGATCAATGAGAAGATGCTGATGAAGAGCCTTAAATAATACCACCTTGTGTTGGTGCTTTGTGGGTGACATTCCATTACAGAGACGCTGTTTGGACTGAACTGACATGGTGGTGTCTTGGAGAGTCCCACTGCTCTTTGGGGCTAAAGGTTCAGAGTCCTGAATTCTCATTGCTGGCTCTCAGCAAATACAACTCCATCTTCCTGGTAGTTCCTTATCCACCTGCAGTGCTGTGCTCAGCAACTGCACTTGGAGGGAGGTCTAGGAGGCGTCTGAAAACCCTAAGCCCTGCTTATGAGCTGGAGTGCATCCATATAATGGACCACAGAATGGTTTATTCATTTTTAAACCCACTAAATAATTACACATCTAAACTGTGTTCAAGAATGTTCTTCAGAGATGCAAAATCCAAACAGAAGAACATAGGATGTGCTAGGATGGTAGCTTTCCTTTGAGTTGCCTTGGAGTTCTTTTTGGGACAGCATTTTCTCTGCAATGTATGTGTGTGTTCACTTTGGCGCACAGTGGAGAATGGCAGCAGTTTCTGAAACACTGCTCAAAACCCCTAGAAATGCCAACGTATTTTCTGCAGTTTCAATTGCTTTTCACAGGAGCAAATTTACTTTTGGCTTGCAAAAGCATGTGTGAATGATAATAGCAGTGATAAACAAAGTCGAGTTGAGGAGTCTGCGGATGCAGAGTGTTGTTAGCACATTGTGGGTGATGGTTTAGGGTCCCTTTTTACCGAGGTGACAAGGCATCCTGGCCAGCGAGTGTGCGGAGAAAGAGGCTCTTGTAATGTCTGTTCCTGACAGCTTTCAACGTCATTGTAGGTGGCTGTAAAGCAAATTGATCTCCAGCAGCAGGGCTGCAGGAAAGTGTTGAAAGAAATCCTGGTCATGAGGGAAAAGAAGAACCCCAATATTGTCACCTACCTAGAAAGGTAAGTACTTCTGGTATTTTTCTGGGAATGTTAGTTTCCATACTTGCAAGGCAAAGGTTTAAAAGCTCTTTCCTTGGTGGCAGAAAATTGATCTTGCTATAAACATCAATCCAGTCCTGTAGGAGGCATGGGAGGAGATTGCATTTTTTTTCCCCAGGAATGGCTCCTGGCATAAGTCGCTTAAAGATTGATCTCAGAAACCTGGCTCTCTTCCTAAGCCAGCAGCCTGTATGTTCACTTGCTGCATGTTCTTTTGCTGTTTTGGGGCGTGATTTTTTCCCAGGTGTCGGAGGAGAAGTGCTGAGAAAGCACCACAGAAATGATTTTGCTTCTGCTGTTCCCACTATTTTCCGTTGCCTTGCATGCCAAAAGACTAGGCTAGGAGACACATGATTTGCCGGGTTTGTTTTTCCTCTTTGTGACTGTCCCTTATGCAAGGTTTTCCAAAGGCTGTTGTCCCTGCTGCACCTCCGCCTGCCCTGTGAAAAACAGGGAAAGTCTCCTTGCTGCTGGACTTAATGGTGCAATTTGTGTATGAAGACGATGAAGCGGCTGCTGGGATGTGTCCGCTTCCAGATTTATCTTTGCGGTCACAAAACGGCCATTTCCCCCTGCTTGCCACCTAAGCCATTTCCTTTCCCATGGATGTGCCTTCCTCATTTAGCCGGCACAGATTGCAAGCTCTGGATAGCTTAGGTGGAGCGTGTCTTCATTTGATTCCGTCTTCATTTCCCAGTGACCTGGAAGCACAGCTCAGCTGTAGTCTTTCCTTCCGTACGGCAATTTAGCTGTGCACATTCAGCTCCACGCTGCTGTTTTCATCTTCCAGCTACCTTGTCAAGGCATGGCACCCACCACAGTGCTTGCTGCTGAAAACTGACAAATGACCCGAAATGACTTCCAAATATGATGTCGAGGCAGCCTTACAGCCCTTTTCCCCCAGTTTCCCGCCTGACAGCGGTCCCCTTGATAGCCAAGGCAGGGCCTTTTCCTCTTTGGGCAAATCATTGTTTGTCATCCGGACGGGGAGAGCGCATCCGCTGCAGCAGCCGTCATTCTGACTGGCTTTGCAGGAGACAGTCTCGAGCAACAACTGATGTTTCCCCCTCAAAAGCTAATATGGCTTCCCTTAGAAAGATCCTGCTCTCCTAGAGTTGCAGCAGCAAGCTCTTCCCCTTGCCAGCACTCAGTGCTCCTTTGAGATCTTTGAATCTTCTGGAGCACTTTCCTTCTGCA